GGAGGGCTGAAGACTCATTTGTGTCTCCAGCCTGTGGTGAGCGCAGTGCTTGAGCCCTGGGGGTGAACCCCTCACTGATGCTCCTCTCTCCTTCGCAGTGGAGGCCACTTGAACCCCGCCGTGTCCCTGGGCTTGTGGCTGGTCGGTGGGTTGAACATCACGATGCTCATCCCTTACTGGGTCTCCCAGCTCTGCGGAGCAGCCATAGGAGCCGGCCTGGCAAAGGTATGGATGTGTTGGGGTACAGGGGCACCCCGGGGGCTCCAGCACCAGCGTGTGTCTGATGGGGAGGGCGAGGGGGACGCGGTGCTCGGCTCTGTGGGTGATTACAGGCGCTGATTGCTCACAGGGTGACACGCTCGGAGGCTGCTGTGTGGGCACGGGGCTTGTCTGGTGCTCGGGTGTCTGGTTCCTCCTCCAGCTCTTTCATAGTCTGGCTGCAGGGCTCAGACAACTCGCCCCCACTGTGGTTTGGGGCTGGCAGCACTGTGCAGATGTGGGGGGGCACATCTGGGGCCTGGCTCATTAATCCTCACCGGCAGCTGTGCTCCAGAGGTTTCCATGGGCACTGATTGCGCATGGAACGGTGCATGGTGCTTCTGCAGCTCCAGCCATTTTCACACACGGTGTTTGCCTGCGCTGTGGGGTTAGTTTAAACTCGGTGCTGCACATCCCCCATATCCAGGCATCCCATGCCCAGCAGCGCGGTGCCTCCCTGGCTGAGTGAGGCAGAGCGCGGCTGGTTCATTATCTGGGTTGATGCTGAGAGCCTTCACTAATGAGTTTACATTCACCAGGCGCTCAGGGCTGGCTTTCGGGAGCAAGCTGATGAGATTAGCTCCTCTTTAACCTGATGCTACTGTCCTGACACATGTGCCTACTAATGCCCATGGTATGGAGCGTGGAGGCACAACCAGGGCTGTCCCCACACAGGCTGTGGCAGCGAGCGAGCGGTACGGGAACGCCAGCGGAGGAGCCTTCACCATCATCGCAGCTGATGATCAGGTCCCCTCCGTCCTGGGGGGTGAGATCATCATGACCTCCTTCCTCGTCCTCGTGGTCTGCATGGGCGCTGCCAATGGGAAGACCAAAACGCCGCTGGCACCTTTCTGCATCGGCTTCTTGGTCACGGTCAACATCTTGGCAGGGTGAGCTCCTGAGCCCAGTCTCCGTGCACATTCCCATCAGGCAGCTGGCTGCAACTGCTGCCATCGGTCAGGGT